TGATAATTTAATATATTTATTTATAAAGATAATTAGATATATAACAAGAAATGAACTGTTAAATCATATACAGATAAATATATAATACAAGAAAGAAACAGTTAAATTATAAAACACTACAAATGGCTCAATTCAACTCACTCCCGTGAGATACTTGTGAAAGACTAGCAGTCCTTCGAGTCCTGTCTGCTGCCTGATCTTCCTCTATTTATAGAGAGAGCTAGGCTATGTCAACACAGCAGCCAATCAGAAGGCAGGTCACCAACTGCCAGCCAGGTCACCAACTACCAGTCCCCAGCTGCAGCGATGTCTTAAAGGGACCTCAACTTTACAGCGACATAGTCCACAGGCTAGGCATCCCACAGGTAATGCAGCCTTTAAATTGAGGCACAGGACAAGCAAGGCAGCCACACACTGGTCCGATGATCAAAGAGCGAGAGACAAGAAAGGCAAGACTCACCAAGCCATTTATCTCTCTGCCTTTCAGTTAATCCCACTTGTGTTTATCGGCCAGGCTGGCACAATAAACTATCTCAGCCAGACACCATCAGCTTTTTTCACCACATTTGCTTATGCACACATTTGTCTTCAGCATTCATGTCGGGAAGGTGTACATCTTGGCCATCATCATTTTCAAAACATTTTCTTACTACTTGAGCCCTTGGTATCAGCTCCTCATTTTTTCCCCTCCCTTCCTCTCCGCTCCCTCTCTTATGAACCCTTGATAACTTATAAATTATTATTCTTTTTCCATGTCTTGCACTGTCCAATGTCTCCCTTTACTCCCTTATCTGTTGTCCATCCCCCTGGGGGGCATTATACGTAGGTCATTGTGATCCGTTCCCCCTTTCTCCTCCCACCCTTCTGGTGTGGCTACTCTCAATAACCAACCTCACTCTTCTTGCCAGATTGCTCAGCTGCACAGTGTACATTGAAGATAATAAATATAAACCTTTTCCCTGTTTCAACTCGTATCCTTTCCCAATATTGTAGCTTATTACTTTAATCAAAGGATAATAGCTGTCAGGGTGATGAACTCTGAGGAATTGTCTATGTTATGCCTACAGTCAAGGTCACAAGGGTGACTGGCAGCATATTCATCTCCCTCTTGAGCAAGGCACTGCAAACCACGGCTCTGAAGCTATTTGGCTCTTTCAGTACATACATGTGGTTGAAGTAAAATGGAAAAGTTTTAAAGGATCTTACTCAGATAATGATGATTTCATTCATTTGTAAATATATTATGGCTCTCAATTTAGCTTCTTCTTAAATATGTTTTAAATTGTTGTGAGGGACTGGATTGGCTCTTCTTTTCCAAAAGTTTGCTGGCCCGTGCTCTAAAGTATAGTGTGCTCTGGACTTGTACCGTCCAATATAGTAAACTGCTTAGTCAGACATGGCTGTTTAAATGTTAGTTTAAACATTTAAACTGAGTAGCAGTAGGGACATTTCAAGCACTCGTTAGCAATGTATGATTACTGACTACCGTACTAGGTAGCACAGATGGAAGTATGTTTTAACATCTCAGATGATGGTCATAATGATTGAAAGTGTGCTTCATAAAATGTAATTTGCTCTGTGGTAGATTTTTTTTTTAATTTATTCAAGATACTGCATTAAAAATTTCTTCACTTATTTGGTGGGAACACCAAAAATGGAGAGTAAAGGTTCCCTAATTAAGTTTAAAGACTTGAAAGGGTAGCAGTTGAGTTTGGTACAGGAAAGGAACAAGGGAGACATAATTTTTCCTATTACAAGACAGATGGATAGGTGCTATTACTAAATATCTGAATACAGAAAATTAATGTAAGAAATGAGAAGCATGTTTTGTTGTTACATTTTTTATTTCTTACTCATTTCTCTTATTATTTATCAGAGCTCAAATTCTTTGATGACAAAATAACGTCTTTTTAAAGTAAAGTCCCTCATCGAGCACAGCGCTTCATTTATACCGTACGAGTTAGTTACGCAGTCATCTCTACCATTTTTAGGCTGTGAATGGATTTTAATCATGATTAGGTTATTTTGTGAACTTTGTGTTAAAACCAGCCATGCCTATTTACTTGTATTGAGAGTTGTATAGAAACATGTTTTCTTGCTTTCTTCTTGTTTCCGCAGAAAGAACATGTTCTCTCAATAACTGTACGGTGGCCAAAAGAATTGGAAAAGGAAAAGACGCTACTGTCATCTTTGAGCACTTCAGAAAGCCTGTGGGTCCGTTTATCCCGGAAAGCTGTGCATGCGGTGCTCTAAATCCAAAGACAAATCCTTCCAACGCTCATATTTCTAATTCCAATGGAAATGGGACAGCTGGAAACATTTCTGTACTGGAAACACACACTGGACAGACAAAGTACAAGGTCGCAGAACATAGTGACACTTGTCCAGAACGTGCACATGATTCAGGGCTCATTTTCATGCCCAGTGATAACACAGAAATTGATAATGGTGACTTCTTGTTAAATTTGACACAGATTAAATGTATTTTAAGTGGTTTGACTACTACTTTTCCCATTTACAACAATATTGGCTCAAGCACAGTGATTACTTCAAAACTCATCAAAGACCCAAGAATGAGGAGGAGAGAAGCACGTCAAGAAAAACAGAATAATATAACAGGCTTAAATGATAATTTGGCAGTGGAGAAGAGCTTAGAATCTGGCAATTCAGCAATAAATTCATCATCTATGTCAACTAACTCTGTCTCCTCCTCTGAACCCATCCCTGATGATCATACTGTCCTTGCTAATTGTTTGGAGGCCTCGTGCCACCAAATTCCTTTGGATGATTCACCATCTCAGCTACTTAGCATGTACCCTAAGGACAGTGATCATCCAACTCAGAGTAAAATTACCACCACAGGACAATGTACAGGCCAAGGCAATTTTCCCGTCCTAGTTTCTTTGTCACAGGGAGCTCCAAAAGCTAAGAACCAGAAACACAATGAGGATGACGTCCAGACACTCCAACAGAGAACCAGCCGACCTAGCAAGCGCCCTAACTTGTACAAAGCAGTGAATTCTTGTACAACAGATGACAGAAGCCACGTCTCTAAGGAGTCTGAGTCATCTAGTTTAATAACTGTATGTCCACCGAATTACCAGATGTCTTCATTCCAAAATAAAGATATCATAGATAAGTACATTCAAAATATTGAAAAGATGGGGAACCTTAAAACTTATCCAGAAGGCAATTCCAAACAACGGAAAAAGCAAAATTTTTGGAAGGACATTGATCATTATTTTACTAATGAAGCAAAAACCAATTCAATGGACAATTACATCTCATACCAAGAACATAAGGAAAGTGAGAACCTTGATTCTTCACGGAAAAACTGTGATCAAATATTAATTACAGAGGAGTTAGAAATATCAGTATCTTCCACATGTACCAGAAATAACGCATGCGAACTCAAAGATCTAGCCATGGACTTAGAAAATAGACTTACGCCAAGTGTAGAGAGCTTTTTGCAAATTCATCCTCAGTGTTCTTTGGAATATGAAAATAATATACATACAAGCTTTGTCCTTTCTGAAAAGCAGGTGGAACTTAACAAGGAAAAACCAAATCAAAGTTATATTGGCCTTATACCTGATGCTTTACAGGAAGCAAAAGACATTTCCCAGGCCAGTGATAAAGTTATTTCATCTCGTGGTACTGAAACCGCTCAAAACAATATCAGTTGCAATTTAAGTAAAGAACATTTATGGGTCCGTGAGAAACATGAAAATGTGCTAGTGTCATTAGAGGACAAACAGAAAGACTATCAAGAGATCCCTCGTTCTAAAGACAACAGTCAGAATGAGCCTCTCTTCTGTGAGACACAACTGAACAAGGATATGCCCCTGAATGCTGACTTCAAAGACCAAGAGTGTGAAAGTGTCGCTAATGCAAAAGACATTGCTTCATCTACCCAGGACAACATAGAGAACATCTGTGGAGATGGGCAGCAGGTTCTTCATACAAACAAAACTGTTATCAATGTAGGTGAGAGAAGGGAGACTGAAACTCACAGCAATGTAGAAACCCTGACTTCTGAAGAACTTTCCACTACATTTAACAGGGGCAAAAAATACTTGCCAGCAGGGACTACCTTAATAGGAAGTGAAGATGCAGTCTCTGCCTCAAGACAAAAAGATGCTCAAAATCATGGAAAGAGTCTAGAACATTTGGCTTCCACAGTGCTCCTGGAAGTTCCGGGTTCTTTAGTGAGGACTTCGGTGCCTCGGGAAGATCACCAAAGATGCCCGTGCCAAGAAACTTGTTCATCGGAGACTTCGAATCTTGGTCTGTTACTGAAACCTGTACTCTCTGACTGCGAAACTGGTGATAATGCCAATAGATTACAAGACTCATTTCTTCAGTCAGGAATAAGTGAGAACTTGATTATTCAAGGTTTAAACTTGGAGAATGAGATTGAAATAGAAACAGAACAGTATGAGGATGCTATTCTATTGGAACAAGATGCATATACGCATGGAGATGAGCTCTGTGATGAATTGCCGGCCTCATATAAGGATCTGAAGTCTCGTATCAATTGGGAAGCTCTTTTGGAAAGCAGGAACCATAAAACAGAAGCACTGGAAAACCCAAGACAGGAGAACACCAATCAGGGTTGCTCTAAGAACATTTATTATTACTATTCTCCTGTACGAAATACCAGAGGAGAGCGTCTCCACACACTTTTACTTCCGGATCTACAGATTAGAATTCCTAATATTTTTAGGCCAGGATTCAGCTCCACTGCTGACTCCCATGCATTGAGAGAGAATTCCTACAATCATCCAAGTGACACAGCCGAACCAGAAATAAATGAAAGAGAAGAGATTCCAGGATTAGAAATTTCTTCCCAGTCTTCTGGTGAAAATTCTGATTACCCACCTGACAATAAATTGGGTAACATAACACAAGAATCAGGACTGATGACTAACTCTGAAGCATCCCCTTCTCTTGATTTAAGTCAGAATAAATGCACGAATCACGTGTCTGGAAACCAAAGCAGTGAAGCCATGCTTATTGAATCTTCAAGTATTGCAGTAAATAATGGAAGCAGCTGTTGCCTTGCAAAATCAAAAACGGACTGTAATGATACTAGAAGTGAAAAACCCATGGAATCAAGAATTGGCAAAAGAAAGCTACATGCAGCGCTCGGGGACCAAAACCTACCACAGAAAGATTTAAGATGCCAAAATATGTATGAGAAAAAGAGGAGGCTAATGATTCAAAACTCATCTGAGGGTTTTTGGTCATTATCCCAAGGACAAATGACATTTTCACAGTCAGAATTGCACATTGGGAATGCCCTGGATATTCTAAAATTTAAAGCATCTTTGGGCAAAATCCAATGTCTTTCCAGAAAAATTGACAGAACTGTTCTTCACTTAGAGAAAGCTCACAAAAGAGTTCATACATCCTTGGAAATAACTAACGTGGGAGAAAAAAGAAGCCCATTACCAAAATCATGTGCAGCAATAGGCAATAATTTTGGGGAATGTTGTGACCTTGAAGGTTATTTTTTTTCAAAAAGAAATGACAAAGAGGGCAAGAGAAGCACTTCTGATGTTGATAAATTATTAACTCACGTGCCAAGGCCCAAGTCCTGTACTAGAAACGGAGAGCAAATCACAGAGCACCTTTCTAAGAATAATGTAGCCAGCACTATTTCCAGAAATGACACCACTGTTCATGGGGAAGAATTTTGTGACCAAGAACAACTTCCTGAATCGCGGTTATGCCTCCTCCCCACATCTCAAAGTACAAGTCAAACCGCTTATAATAATAGCAGTCTGGGATTACCGGGACCGTCAGAACTTCAGCCTTTTTCTGGGAAAACCAGATGTCTCTCTCCACCAGAGCACTTAGATGTGAAGCTCCCTGAAAGAGAAAATCACATTGATAGAAACATCTTATCTGATATTCATAATTCAGAAAAGCTTGAGAACCATCCTGCCCATAGTAATAGTAAAAGTGTAACCAAAGAAATCAACCCCGTGGCTGATGAAATCGCAAATGCAAGTAGCTCACTGTCTTTAAGGTGCATGAAAGAAAGTGAAAGTGTTAACAGGGTCAAAAACTGTGATGCAACTCACATAGTTCGCACAGAAGTGAACACTGATAGACTTATTTCAGTCTTGGAATCAAGTGCAAAGGACATCTTAAATGGTGATCTCTGCAAACCATGTAATGCTTTATCTGACTGTAAAAGGAATCCGAAAGTAAACTCTCCTATAGAAACATGCGCAACTCCCCTGGAAAGCCCAGAAGCAAACAATTTCACAAGACGCCGCGCTGTGGACTCGATAAACCCGAGTCTGATAGCACGTGAAAAATGTGAGCGTATCCCGCAGTTGTGTTCAGCTGCTCCAGTGACAGATGTTGAGGGAGAATGCGCTAACTCATACTGTGGTAAACAGAGAGGTTTTGCTGCCGATTCTTTAGCAACGTCCACTGCTTCGTCACAACAGCAGGAAGGCGGCGGGAAGGATGTTCTAAAGAAAGGAAGGTGCTCTTCAGAGACTCCTCAAGTGGGTGGGAGTGATACTGAGAATCCCAACATGGATCTAATATCAGCAACTGACCAACACGAGAGTTATGGCGAAAATGCATTCGTGAAGAGACTATTCTCCAGTGACCATTCACGGCTCTTCACAGATCAGGAAAAGGGTTCATCTTCAAAGGAGTGCACTGAGGGTAGAAAAAGGTGGACCATGACACAAGCAGAAAACAATGGAAACCCGTCCACTGGCAATGCGTACCACCAAGAAAGCATGACAGAAGAATCATCTTGTAAGACTGAATACGAAACTCCAAGGATCTTAGAAGAATCTCCCTGCGTACATCGGAGAACAATTAAAAATAGGCTGGCTGGATCTCATCTAAGACTTAAGAACACCACCTCTCCTAAAGAACTTTCTGTTACTAGCACAGTTCCTACTCCGCTTAGCAAAAGAGAGAAAGGCAAGAAAGCTAAAGGTAACCAGGGCTCTTGGTCTGGTTCTATAGAGCATTCAGAAGCAACCTGTCATAGCAAACCAGGCATTGTAGGAATTAACACTATGCCTGCTTCACGTGCCCACCCAGAGAGCGCTAACGGAACTCCTCTTCCGAAGAACCCTATATCCTACGTGAGTGAATTAAAAGAAGGACATTGCTCAGCTACTCACACTGCTCTTATCGCTAAGCTGTCTCAAATTTTGCAGAGGGCAGATGAGGCGTCATCTTTGCAGATGATACAGGAAGAAACGAAGGCTTGTCAAAATATTCTCCCCTCCTTTATCAAAGCTTTTGAAAGAGACCAAGAATGTTCGTTTGAAGAAATCCTGGTTTCACGAGAACTGTTGGTAACACGAAACCTGTGGAACAATTGTAGGAACACCTTAAAGCCATGTGCAATTGAGTCTCTGGTGGAACTCCAAATGATGATGGAAACTCTTCAGTTCGTCGAGAATAAGACAAGGCTCTTGGAGGACAAGCCGACCTTCCGCAGCTTGCTGTGGTACGATGAGACGCAGTACGGTGAGCTGCTGGCCGGGCCGCGGGGCTATCAGCAACAGGCCAGCTTCTACCCTGCTTTTCAAGGCAGGCTGAAGTACAATGCCTTCTGTGAGCTGCAGAAACACCACGTCCAGTTAGTGGCGTTGTCTGAGGAAACCAAGAGGGAGGCAAATTCGTACTATGCGTTCTTAAGATATAAACGGCAGATTCAAGAGTGTGAAGCAATAATGGAACATTGCCCCGACTGCTTTGACTTTACTCTTTCTGTACCATTTACCTGTGGAGTGAATTTTGGCGACAGTTTAGGAGCCTTAGAAACCATAAGGAAAAGTACTTTAGAGCTGATCGGTGCACAGGACGACTTGCCTAAAGCTCACTCACATCCAGGAAAACAGGACCACTTGTGGATTATCATAGAAATGATCTCCTCAAAAGTACAATTTATTAAGAACAATGAGGCAATCAATATTAAAATAGCTCTTTATGGTTTGGAACATATCTTTTTTGATGCGATGAAAAACCTTGTTTGGGAAGAGAGAATACGCTCTTCAAACAAAAAATACTCCCGAAAAAAGTATAAAGAAATGCTACTGAAAATTAATCAAGAGGCGTTTTCGAAACTGCAGGACATTTATGATACTTTGTCTAATGATTTCAACAGTAAACAAACTTCCAGTACTGGACCTGAGAAGGATACTGTAATTGCTTGCAAAAAGTCAGACAATCTAATAAATCAAGCAACCATCAGCATAGACAGTCACAGGTTTACTTTGCTTTCACACCCAAATATTTGTTTTGTTAGTGAAATATTGGATCAAGCGGAATCTACAGACTTTAAAACATTACAGGAGCTCACTTTGAGATGTACTAATCACTTAGAAATTTTTAAAGAGCACTTTCAGATACTGCAGGAGGATAACATAGATAATATTTTTATCACAGAAGAAAATGCTTTGGACGTGGTGAAAAACGACAATTGTGAGGCTGTCATTTTAAAGCCCCAAGCCATTGAAACATACATTGAAATACTCATGGTTTTAGAAACAGTGCATTTTCTGAAAAACTCAATAGCAAAGAAACTAGACAAGCAGAGGTTTCGAGGTATGCTTTGGTTTGATTTGTCCCTGCTTCCTGATCTGATTCATTGCCAAGAAAAAATGGCATGTTCTTCCTTTCTTAAAGACAGTTCCACCGATGGCCTGGGGAAGGTGATAGATACTGCTATTTCTGACCTTAGGAAAGATCTAGGTACTATCTACAAATTTAATGAAGCTGTTAATTGCTCGTATGCTGTGCATTTGTTTTCAAGAGAGCTTGAAGAACTTTCAGAAGTGAAAAAACTTGTAAAGAAGTCACAGTGTTCAATTTCCACATATATTGACTTCATGCCATGTACAGCTTCCATCAATTACGGAAACACTGTGTCAGAGTTGGAGTGCAACTACAATCAGTTTTCCGCTCTGCTCAAAAATGTAATGGCCGCTCCTCAGAAAGATTTAGGAAAAGTGGCTCATGTGATGAAAGTCATGAAAACTATTGAACATATGAAGATTATTTGTGCTAAAGATGCTAAATTAGCCACTTCTATTATCCTTTACCAAATGCTGTATAACAGAAAGAAAACTTTCCAGTTACAGAAAAAGGGAAAGATGAGCATTCATGTTTCAAAACATGAGGACATTAATCCACCCAGGACTTATGTGAAGAAGGCACCTTCGATTTCACAGTGCACAATCACAAACGTGTCAAATTCCTCTACAAAGCGACCTCTCATTGTAGACACATATGAAGACCTTCATGAACAAGAGAAAAATACTGCTCTTTCCAGTTGCAAAAAGCAAAAGGTACAAATGTTTTCAAACAAAACTTGTGTATTATTTTGGTGAACAAACCAATTCTTGAAGCAGACTAGGTTGCAGAATTGTTAAAAATTAAGAACACTTTAAAATGTGCCTTGCAAAAATAAGTTATGAACTAAATGTTGACTTGGGCAATTTATATTTAAAACTATGTAAATGTTGACTTTCAGTTCATGATTTCATGTTTGAAAGGATACCTTCCAAATGTCTAATTTTTTCATTTAAAATTTTTAAATAAACGAATTGAGAAAACATTTCATGGAAGAATGAATTTTAATATCTTTTTAAGGGAAAGTCAAAGATATGAATAAGAGTTGAGTAGTGACCAACTATTGATTGAGTAGCTTCTACATAGTAAGTCTGTGCCCAAGTAAAGGATATTAAAACTATCTTATGTAGCCCACGTTTTTAACTTTTATCCAATGGGGCAAATAGGACACATATATTTGACATGACTATCAAAGAAGTTATTAAATTTTATGTAACATGTATTATGTACTTGCCATGTATTTTCCCTACATTGTGTTCTAGGGATTATACAAATATTAATGCATTCATTATAAATTGCTTCATGATGTGTGCAGTATTACTATCTAAAGACAAGGAAAATGAGGCACAGAAAGTTCAGTCAAATTTTCAAGGTCACAGAGTTTGTAAATAGGAGAGAGAGCCAGAATCTAAAACCAGGCTGTGCAGGTCCAGAGCTGAGGCAAGCTAGCATTTGCCCCTGTCCTCCGCTTGACAGCTTTCTGAGAATATCTCAGTTCAGAAGAAACAAACCTACATGTAAAATAAAAAGCTGGATTTGTTCTACCCCTAGTTTTAGAGATTAGGATTTTAATCATTTAATGAATGGCGCTCATTGGAAAATGCCTAATAAACCACTTGGAATCATACTTCGAAAACACAAGATGCGCAAGTTGTGTATTCCACATCAATTATAAAGGGAGGGCGGTACTAAGAAGGGTTGCAGGTATTGAGAAGAAAAGCAAAAACCAAAAAAAGTTTTATTTCATGGAACGCAAAGCTTTCTCTGAAAGGAACAAACAGTATATGAAGGTAAAAATTTTAAAGACATTTCCATTTGAGAAAATAATGTGGGTAAATGTCAAGAATGCTTATTGACATAATTTGAGGGATAAACTTATGCCTGGAACAAAAATTTAACTTAGGAGATGAAATAAGCTAAAGATGGAAAATTGAAATGTTTAAGATCATACAGTGCCTTAAATGTAGAAGTTTGAACTTCATTCTATTGGCATTCTGTTTTAAAGGGTAATGCCATGGGAGGTGTGTTTTTTAAATTACTTAAAGAGTACAGATTCTGACTACTATTAGAAGTCAGTCATCCACAACTTAGAAAAGGGTGCTTGATGTTGATTAATAAGAAAGGAAAAATGTATTTGACAAATCACCTAAAGAATTGGTAGGGTGTACTGAAAAATGGCAAAGAAGAGAAAGTAGTCATTAATGAGTTGCAAAATTGGCTTTAAGATAATGAAGAGAAGAAAAGGGCCATAAATTTCTATCTCCCCTTCCCTATATGGGAAGTCCAGCAGAGTCTCTAGTTTCAGGGGTGAAGAGAGAACATTAAAGAGTTCAGTTTTAGACCATGTCTTTTGAGTGATGACGTAACAAACTAATACAAATATTAATTGAGATAATAAAACTGCATAGTGTAGTTTAAATTGTCACCAATTTAGATTTCCCTTGTATCTTTTCAACATAGGTTGACATCAAAGATATCACCAAAATTAATGAAGAAATGGCAGCATTCGAGAATCCAAGGTAGGAACTGCTATTAGTCCCATGTTAGAAAAACTAAGCAAAATTGAGCAAATATTAGAGAATAATAATTATAATTATGCTAAAGGTAGAGAAATTTGTTTCATATTATAGAATATCCTATGTATAGACCAAAGAAATTTGAACTTTATTCTGTAAGTATGGGAAGATACTATCAGGAGAAATGTGATTTTTTTCAGTGATATAAAGGGTAGGGAGATTCTGAGTACAATTAGAAAAGGTCAGTTTTCTGGGGCATAAAAGTACTATTTTCAAAATAAGAAAGGGAAATTTGTTTTTGCAGACATTACTTTAAAAAATTGATTGGGTTTAATGACGGGTGTAATATAACAACTTTGTCAAGCCTGTGGATTTTACCAAACACCACCAAACCTATTGCTGTGGAATCAAATCTAACTTATAGCAACCCTTTTGTGTTAGAGAGAACTGCTTCATAGGTTTTTTCCCCTTTTTTTGACTGTGATCTTTACAGTAATACCTTCAAGCCTTTCTGGTATAAACCACTGCGTGGGCTCAAACTGCCAACCTTTAGGTTAGTTTAGCACAGTTTGCACAATCTACGGACCTATTATGTTGTTGTATTCTTGTTAGATGTATCAAGTAGGTTCTGACCCATCAAGACCCAGTGGACAAAAATGAGGTCGTTGTTGAAACCACGATGTCAGTCCATCTGGTCAAGGGTCTTCCTCTGGCCTTTTACTTCATGTCCTTTCCAGACACTAGTCTCCTCTGGCACCAGCCAACTTTCAGAATGGATTCCAGAGATAACTAGTTGCCAACTTATTAAGTGGGAACAATTCTACAGCTACTGTGTGTGTACACATGCACACGCAAGTGCAGTTGATAAACTACAGTTTCACGAAAGGCTGTTTTAGCGCCATAAAAAGGAAAAACATGAGCTCCAAGGATAGTCCTCTAAAGTGATTAAACCGTTTTTATGAAAAATTCTTTACATGACTTCTTTATTTGTCATTTTGAATGTGAAGTGAGCCCAGTGAATTTGACTCTATAATTTCATTTAAACCTAAGTTAATTTTTATTTTGAGACTAGCTTCATTTTTTTCCATTTTGTGAAGAAGAATGAGGGCCATAGAATAAGAAATAGAAGTGAGCCGACTCGTTTCTATCCTACTGAGATTTGTTTCTTTAAATATAACATTTTACTTACTGAATTTCTAGAATTGTTTCCCTGCCATCGATGACTCTCTGAAAACTTGTGTAGTGACAGAAACATGCATAGGCTGTTGGAAGAATAACATAAACCAGCTCCTTAATTATTTTAGGTTGTTAAGTTGATAACGGTGGTCAGGAACAAACCCTAATATAAGGCGTAGTTCTTCACGAAGGCAGACCAGCTAGACATTGCCAATACTTTCGGTGGAGACATCTCTGAAATAGCACTGGAAAGTCGATTTTAATGAAATTATACCTTCTGGAGACTTTCAAAGTGTTGCATGCGGTTGGTTGATGGTGCTGTTTGTCAGTGAAGTGCCTTTTAAGGAGGTTGGATTCAAGAATGAGGTTTGAATTTCCAGGGTGGAATATATAAATTGCAGGCCAAAAATTCACTTCTCTTGGCTGTAGAGGAGTGGTACTTCTTTGCCCTTCTCAGCATGCTACTTACCACATAGATATCAGCGAATTCAATGAAACACTTAAAAAATACTCTTAAGCAGAGAGCCTGTTATCTGTCTGTAAAAGCCCCTCACCCTACTTGGGCAGGCTGCCATCTAGTCCATGTTGACTCATAGTGACCCCCTGTGGGTTTTGGAGGCTGTAACTGAAACCGCGCCAGATCACAGCCCAATGCATAACCACTACACCACCAGGGCTCCATCAATTTAGATAAGTGTGCCAATAATAAAGTAGCAAAAAGGAATTGTGTTCTGCTTTTTCTATTATCAAAATTTAACAGGTGAAATATATATTTGATGTTTGTGATGCTAGAAAGGGAAGTGATGCTAGTCTGTTTGCTAACTCCAGATAGCGATTTACAAGAGCATTATCACTAGGGTGGGGACAGCGAATTAGGAAATAACCAAGCCAACTAAATAGTGATATTTTCCTACTTTTAAATCCCTTTGTCAAGAAAGGTCCAAGCCCAAAATAATATATCACAATATGGGATATATTTGAAATGTGGAGTATAACATCCTCCATAAGAAAAGTTTCTAGATTCAAACCAGGAGAATTAAATTATGAAACTATGTAACTTGGTATATTGCGTTGAAATAGCTGATGGATGAAGTAACTGCGAGATGGTTAGTTCTCGCAGCTGCTGACCAAAGTGTTGACCATTCAGGTCCCCCAGAGGTGCCTTGGGGGAAAGGCCTAGCCCTCTACATTGGAAAAGGCATTAAATCCTGTTTGGAGCAGTTTTATTCTGACACGCACAAGGTTGCCAGGAGTGGGAACTGACACAATGGCCACTGTCTCCATGGTTTTCAAGTTGCCAAGAGAATTAAAAAATAGATGTCTTAGGAATTCCTGTTAGAGGAGCTGATATCAGGGCTCAAAGAGAAAGTAAATGTTTAGAAAATAATGATGGCAACATATATAGAAATATGCTTGATAACTATTGATACATGGATTGCTATAAGAGCTCTAAGAGCCCCTCCCCCAATAAAATGATCTTAAAAGGGGAAAAAAACAAACTCCTGTTTAGTAAAAATATTTTTAAATTTTTTTTAAACCACATTTTAATGAAAACTTCTATGAATCTGTATATTTAAAGTTGTCTGTATGTATATGTTACCCCTAATAGGACTACAAGATCTCATCCCCAAACAGAAAACAAAATCAGACCAAGTGCATCTGGCCATCTGAAAAGAAAACATGCCCCTCCACAAGAGGCTGATATGCCGGGACCACCACCTGCCTCCCTTGTACCTTTAAAGGCCTTGAAAGACGCTTGCACAGCAAACCCAGAAAACAGAATAGATTTAACTCATAGTTCATCTCATGTCTCAGAAGATTTCACAGGGCAACAGAAAAACTTATATAGCTGGGAGAAGGGCATGGCCTCTAGTGCTACTACCGGTAAAGAAAAAGAGAAAGGTGGTGCTGCTTTTGAAATGTGTGACCAAAAAAGTGTAGATAACACATTTTCAGAAGACCATGAGACACCTTCGGAGACATTTCGCAAAATTTCCCCAGATGGTGCCCAGAACTCGTGGCCTGCCAACACAAGACCAGGAATTGATAGTGCTGCTCTGCCTACTACATCAGGGCTCTCGAAGCCTGTTTTCCATTTTGTGAAGGGTACCCCTACCAACTTAGAAATAAGTGAAACTGTCCTTGAGCTTCAAGATAATGAGATAATAGAGGTGTCAGCCGAGAACTCTGCATGCACCAGTTCTTCAGAACCTATGCTTTTACAGAGCAAAGTTGCTGAACCAAAAGAAAAACATACGAAGGATACATTGAGTCCCAGTACTATCAGTGGTGGAGCAGCTGCGAACATAACCTTGAATGTGAATCACTCAGCAGAGGACGCTCCTCCTGAGCCACAGTCAGCAAAACACGCTCCTCGGCATCGGAGTAGGGAACATTCAAAACCCCCCACTCAGAATGCTGCCGTGTACTGGAATGAACTTCCACAGTCTGCTTGTACCTCAACATATAATTCTGAACATTCATCTGGAACTTCACATCCTTACTATACTTGGTGTGTTTATCAGTATAGCAGCATCAGTGGCAATTCTGTAACCCAGACATACCAGGGGACAACAGCTTATGAAGCACAAACAGTTCCTTTGGGCATGTTAACTGCAGTTGCAAGTCCTGTCCAGAACGCATACTCTAATCTCTTGTACCCTCAAAATCTTCGTTCCCTTGCTGAGAACCCGCAGGCAAATATCTCTGTGCCAGTGAACGGGTATTTTCAATTTCAGATGCCAGTTTCCTACAATTTTCCGCAGCCGGTTTTTTCACAGCCATCTTTCCCTCAAGCTGCATACCCTTGCCCTCCTATTCCTGGCGTGCGTCCAGGCGGCCCATGGATCTACGGTGAGTTTCACAAGTTTTCGTGCTTGCTTCATTGAGGTTTTGCTTTTTAACCTGGCGCACTTGTTCATGTAAATGGAATTTTTAAAACAAGTGATTCTAGTTAGTTGTTACTTTTCTTTGCAGATTTTTAGAATGTTTCATGTCAGGTGAGAATCTAGTTATCGGCTATTTAATTTTAATAAATCATTTTATTGAGGGCTCTGATAACAGTCCCTACATCAACTTCTGGAGCCCTTGGTATCAGCTCCTCTTTTCCCCTCCCTCCCTCACCCTCATGGTGCGGTACTTCACCAGATCACATTGGAAACAGTCAGGAGGGCCAGCGGACATAACTGCAACTATTTTATAGGGTTGGGGTGCTTTTTTAGTATTTTTTCTCTTTTCTCCCTTTTTCTCATGTCAGTTCCTATAGGACAGGAGGATGATCGATCCCAAGGAGAAAACAGTGGGGCCGTAGGCTCTTGGGAGACATTACAGAGATTTTGAAAAGGTGTAATATCATGAAGATATCCTTCAATGAAATTCAACTATAGTGAATAGTTAAATAAAATGTACTTAATCTATACAGTGAAATATGATACCTGAAAAGGTTTATAAAAGTAATTAGTGATGTGAGAATTTTAAAAAGCATATAAGAATAACTGGGCAAATAAGGGCACAGAAATACTGAAAGGAAATATACCCATCGGTCTGCTTATGGGTGGTAGAACTTGGGGGCATAGAGGGTTTTCATTTCTTTTCTACTGTGAACATACACTATTTTGATAACGAAGAGGAAAATAAGTTAAAAGGAAACTCCTAATCAGATGAAGCAGTCTTTCTCCCCTTCCCCTCTTTAGTCTATTATCTTGGTGTAGGTGAATGGAGTTCTTAGAATACACTAGTGAAGAACTTGAAAGTTCACCACTAGAACTGGAATTTTTATGCTTTTAAACAGATAACTAGATTTTGTGTAAGGATTAGAAAACCGCATTCTCGAGTTAAATTTAAGTAAGTATACGTTTACCCGCATTAAAGTGCTGTAGGTTAGATTTCCAGGCCGTTCACAGTTCTGGAAATGCAGTCTCATCTCCCACCACTTCCTGTTCCCTCCTCAAACATTGGATTTCTTACTGCCCCCGTGTGACGACAGTCCCTCTTGTCGGGCTCCCATGGTTTGTCCTGTGCTTTTCCCACAAGTGAAGGACATGAAATGTGTGTGGTGTAATGCGCTGGGTACGGATCCCTCCCCTTGCTCCCTTTCCCACTAAATGAGTTTCAACAGGACGAGAATATTGATGGGAGCTCTGGTAGTGGTGGTGGTAGTTTGATGAGGTTTTTTTGGTTTTTTTGGAGAGCATTTATACCTAAAACAACACTACCCAAAGATGGGGGAGAAGGCAGGGGGAAATAGAACAGTTTGCTTAGCATTTTCCTTTATGATTAATTCTTTTCCGCTGCAGTAAACACATGAAGCATAGTAAATGTAGCAAACCTATGGATGAAAGTAGTTGCTTTAATTTCTTAAATAGAAACCCTTGACTATAAACAACTCATAAATATTCTCATAGCTTTGAGCTTTCTTATGTTCTTAATAGTCAAGCTATTTATAATATTAGAAGGTGACTTGATGCAAATTGAGGTTGAACTTTCCAAAACATTGGTACCCCTTGGTTATAGTCTCCCGCACTGCCATCGTGTTGTGCTAAGTAGAACTGCCCCTGTAGGAAGGAGTAGGAAGCCCCGTCTCTCTCCCTGGTAGAGGCTGGTAATTTCGAACTGCCCAGCTTGCAGATCGCAGTCCAGTGCATAACGACTATGCCACCAGGGTTCGTCTTGGTTATAATAGTCAAGTGAAAAGAAAACAAAACAATTATCTACTACTAGTCATATCCAAAAGTCACTAAAAAATCCGCAGGTAATTGCTCTATTACAAGCATAACTTTTCGTTTTCATAAGTGTTTATAATGCACAGAGAGTACGTCTCGCACTTAGCCTGCATTCCTTTTAAAGATGTGAAAATTCCTATAACCCATTTGTCACTCACTGTTTTGCTGATAATGCTTTTTGTATTCGACACTAAAAAACAGAGCCAAAGGAAAGGGATTCCGTGAACCCTGAGTGCCGGGGACCATTACACTGTATGTTCTATTTAATTCTCTTAGGAGATCTGAGAGAGATGTCTAGAAACTATTGTTCATTTATAAGCAAACTTACTCCTCAGAAAGCCTTAAGTACTTTTTCATGGTTCCCGTAGCAAGTGAACGGTGACAGGTGTGCAGTCTGAACCTGGATCTCTTTTGCCCTCACTTGAGCTCATGTTCCTTTCACTGTACTAGTTAGGGTACTTACTGTTTGTCGGTCTTCATCATTAACTTATCTCACATCTGGGGGGGGGTTTCTCTTCCAGTTCCATGGCAACAACGATCCTTCCAGCCAGGACACTGAAAAGAGTCTTCCTCAGTCTACTGAAATAAATGAGATTTAATGTTTCAAGTTTTTAAAAAGCAAGTTATTTTAGTAATATTTTAAATGTATGTAAATTTAGAAGGAAGTATAAATCATATGACTCTATACCATCTTTAAGTGCACCAATGTACCACAAAGGGCAATCGAAAATCAATTTCTAACATCTGAAATAGGCTACTCTTCCATGTCTACCTAGCCGTCCACAACATGAATATCATTATTTTAAGAGTTATTTTTTTTAAATATTACTATAAGTAAAGATTTTCTTTGAGATTATTCTAATAATGTAAAGGAGTAAAAACAGCATTTATGGTGATAAAGGTTAAGCAGCGGCCACAAAGTCTTTTAGAGGAGAGTTTTGTTTCTGATATTTTTAATATTTTTTTATGTTTCACCATTGGAGTTAGATGACAGTAAGAATTTCTTTCTACAACTGGGTCATCAAACCAATAATCTAATTCTTGACATACTATTCTTGTGATTTGCAATTCTGCTATATATGACGTGGAAATTTTCTTCCATTTCAGTATTTTATAAACACGATTTATAAAAACTTTTTCATAGAGAAACTGATTTGCATATTTTAGGTGTTTACCTGGGTAGAGGTTTTTGTCCTGCTTTGTTTTCTGTTCATTATATTGAAACAAAAGCACGTTAACACCCTTTCTATACCAGGCCCTTTCCACAAGATTACTTCTTTAATATTTGTGTTTCACAATTTAAGTGATTGTTTTAATGATTTGTAACAAAAATGGGGAAAATAACTTCCTCAGCTTAGGTTAGTTAAAATTAGTCACTTGAAAGTAATTTAAATAATGCAGTACAAAGACGGGTTTTTTTAAATGCTATAAGCATAATTTTTTTGTTTTTGTTTTCTTGTTAAACATTCTGCAAAAGTTAAAAATCTTTGCATGATAGCCCTGGTTGGCCAACTGGGATTAGTCTGCAACTGCATTTTGAGCAGCCTTCTGCCTGTGTATTACCTTTGTTACTCAAAACCAACCACGTATTTTGTACCATCCCATCCAAAAGATCCCTCGCACCTGGATAGAACTTTCTCAAGAGCTAGTGAGCCATGAAATTGGACAAGTGATTTGCTGTGGCTGAACCTGAACAGATAGCTATCAAAGCCACAGTGTTTTCTCAAAATATATTTTGTTAGCAAACTTAGGAGATAGTTGAATTAGACAATGTAATTCAGCCTTACTTATAGAGTAAGTAATTTTTCAATTTTCAAAAATGCTGAAATTAACAGTAGATGGAATTGAGAATTACTTTAAACTGATTGAATAACAAATGTCTTTTAAAGGGAAAATCAAGCAGAAAACTACAACATAACAAAGAATTTGAAAAGACTAGCATTAAAGCAATGTTAGGAGAACTATATATTTTTGTCAGTATAACTTTATTTTAAAATAGTCTGTCAAAACCACCAAAATGCTTGAAGGTTTTGAAGCACAGTTAACTGATATTCAAAAAATGACTTTGGTTCTGTTATCTGGTTTGTATTTGGTAATGGGACGACGTTACAGAGTTTACTATTTTTTAACTTTCTGGTTTGTAAGTCAACAGTTAAGATTCTTGTTAAGAACTCTTTCTTTAAATAACTTTTCATTTCTCTTGGCCTTGTCTGTAATGTTTTCATTACTTAGGCTTTGATTTCTTTAAAATTGAAAAGATATCCTTGTCTAAACATTCCATTGTATGAAAAAAAATCTGTACTTTGAAACATAATATGAAAACCAATGGAGTATTTTCTTTTTTCTACCTTCTCAAGTATATTTTTGGCTTGAAAAATAAAGTTAGAGCAAAATTGAAATGTGTGGAAATATAAACAAGGAAACTTGTTTGTTTGCAAATGTTTGGAACTTGAGGAATAATCTAAATAAACTGGATTCCTTGTAGTTTCAGAGTGACTGTGTGTGTGTGAGAGAGAGAGAGAGAGATGTTTTGGGACTTGAGGAATAATCTGAATAAACTGGATTCCTTGTAGTTCCAGTGTGTGTGTGTGTGTGTGTGTGTGTGTGTGTGTGTGTGTGTG